CGCCCGGATAGATCTGTTCGCATCCAGAGAAAACGCTCAGTGCCAGCTGTTCTTCTCTCTGCGCACTCTGGACGCTCCCCTTGGCGTAGACGCACTAGCGCACGCTTGGCCGCATGAGCTGCTCTACGCGTTTCCCGCACTGGCCCTGATACCCCCCACTCTCGCCAGAGTGAGGGGGCACAATCACAGGCTGATCCTGATAGCTCCACACTGGCCAGCGCTGCACTGGCTGGCGGAGATATATCAGATGCTGTGTGCCCAGCCTTGGCAACTGCCGGTGCGCAGGGATTTGCTCTCGCAGGGGGGGGGGCGGTGTTCTACTCGCACCCGGAGCGACTGCAACTGTTCGCCTGGCCCGTGAGTGGCTCAATTTGACCACTGCTGGGCTGCTGGGCCAACGCCAGGGCTCCCTCCAGTAGGTCTCTGTACGACTCTAAGTGGGGGGTGTTTGAGCGGTGGTGTCTCGAACGGAGCCATATCCTTTTTCAGTGTTCTGTGCCAACGATACTGTCGTTTTTACAGGACTTGATTGATAAAGGAAAAGCCTTTTCCACGGTTAAGGTTTATCTGGCAGCTATAGCGGCTTGCCATATAGGATTCGGGGACAAAACAGCGGGCCAACACCCTTTGGTGTGCCGGTTTATGAGGGGCGCGCGCAGGCTTCTCCCTGTCTCTAGACCACTGATGCCTCCGTGGGATTTAGCGGTGGTTCTGGAGGGGCTTAAAGGCCCCCCATTTGAGCCATTGCTGGGAGTGAGTCTCAAACACCTGTCCCTTAAGACAGTGCTGTTACTGGCTCTCGCCTCCGCAAAGCGAGTGAGTGATATCCATGCGCTCTCTGTGAGCCCTGCGTGCAGTCAGTTCTCCCCGGGGAATACACGTATGGTTCTGAGGCCCAACCCGGTCTTTGTACCTAAGGTGGTGGGGTCATGTTCCCCGATTGAGCTCGCAGCGTTCACCACTTCTTCCGGTGAGCAGCGAGCGCACATGCTGTGTCCGGTTCGAGCTGTGCGCTCTTATATGGACAGGACACAGAGCATCAGGAGGAGCGATCAACTCTTCGTCTCCTGGGCTGAACCCCTAAAGGGACAGCCGGTCACAAAGCAGCGCCTCGCCCACTGGGTGGTGGAGGCTATAGCTTTGGCGTATACGAGCAGGGGTCTGCAGCCGCCGGCGGGTTTGCGTGCACACTCTACCCGCGGGATGGCCGCATCCTGGGCTTTATTTAGGTGAGTGTCTGTTCAGGACATTTGTTCAGCAGCGAGTTGGTCCTCGGTCCTAACATCGCCTCCCCTGGACTTTGGTACTTGTTCGATATGCTGTCTGGCAATGGGAGCTACCATATCCCATAGGGACGAGAATATAAAAAAACGTTTGGTTATCTAACATAACCGCAGTTCTTAGAATAATAGAGGGTGTCTCGCCAGACAACCCTTCTTGCTGGGCGGTGAGAAGAGGTTTGCTTATTGAATTGCGTGAGTGTTATCTGCGCACACTATATATAGTAGGTGGGACTACTGGGTGCGGCGCAGATGAATACCTTCACCGGCCAATCAAGATTGGCGGATTGAGATAAATGCTTCTATTAGGGCTGCAGGAGGCTGCATCCCATAGCGAGACACCTCGCTCATATTATTCTAAGAACTGCGGTTATGTTAGATAACCAAACGTTATAAAAGTGAAGATCTTCTCATCGGATCCAAATCATCACTCTCCAAATCCCATCCCCTCAGTATTCTCATCGATGGCTGTCTGGTCCCCACTTCAACTGAAGTTAAAAGTCTTGGCGTCATCTTGGACAGTACTCTCTCACTCACATCCCACATCAACAACATCTCACGTACATCCTTTTTCCATCTCTGCAACATCTCCAGACTTCGCCCCTCCCTCACCTAGCACTCCACTGAAGTCCTCATAAATGCCCTGGTCACGTCTCGCCTGGACTATTGTAACTCCCTCCTCATTGGTCTACCACAAAAACGTATCCACCCTCTACAAACCATCCAGAACACCGCTGCCAGAATCATAACACGTACCAAGTCCTCGGCTCACATCACACCAGTGCTCATTCACCTCCACTGGCTCCCTGTCCAACAACGGATACAATACTCCTACTGTTAACATTCAAAGCTCTCCATAACCAGGCCCCCCCATATCTCTCCAGTATGCTACAGCCATATATCCCATCCCGTTCACTCTGTTCCTCATCTACCGCCCTGCTTTCCACCCCTTCCTTCTCACTTACCTCAATGGGTGCTTGGGCTTTTAGCTGCTCTGCACCTAGACTCTGGAACTCACTTCCACTACACATCCGCTCTCTGGACTCCATTGACACTTTCAAGTCTCAACTCAAAACACACCTTTTTAAAAAGTCTTCCTTGCTATAAATACTCTGGCCCCCAACTGTTTTACTCTCTGCATTCATTTATTTAGCTACACTGTATTTTCTTTGTAATTTTATATGTATTTACTGTGCTGTGTATTTTATGCCTATTTCTGCAGTTGTTTTTCTATTTTTTACCTGTAAGGTGACCTTGGGTGTTGTGAAAGGCGCCAACAAATAAAATGTAGTATTATTATTATTATTATTATTATTATTATATGTTCTTCTGCATTTACAAAATAGAATATATTGATTCCTTCAGTATGTAGTTGTAATTTCTTTATTTGTTACCATAATTACTATTTTCCGGGCCCTTATTTTGCCTCAGTTTCATGAACTGGCCCCAATTCCAAATTAATTGAATAGCCCTGATGTAGACAGTTCTTTGAGCAAAAGTCTTGGAGGAATGAGTGAATTGTATTGACAGTGCTAAAGAAATCTAATATGGACTGCGTTGTGTGGGTCCTTTGGAGTTTCCTTTTTAAGCCAGGATGTAATGAAAGATTTAGAGCACAGAGAGCTCGCTGCTACCAGACATCAGACAGTGTTTGCTGGCCAATGGTTGTGTATGATGCCAAAGCTGGATGTGTGAGAGATTGATTAGATTATTGATTACATGGAGTCTCACACTGTCTCAGCAGTGTCGTAGGATGTTGGAATGGGAGTTTCTTTTATGTTGCTCCCAGAATATCAGCAGTGAGCCGAAGTTTATTTCCTTTTCCCTAGTAAAGAGGAGAGATAAGTTGGCTTACTCACCATGGCCTGTAGAGCTCAGTGGGTCGTGGGAAATGATTATCTGCAGATTCTATTAAAAACTTTCTTGACTATCAGACCTAAAGTAATCACTGTTACACAACCATGAGCCTCAGTAACAGTAGTATGGATTTATTAGTGAGTTGGGTGAAAAAGCAGCAGCACAAAATAAACAGGCTGACCTACCAGGAAATCAGAACTATCAGAAGTGGAACCTAATGGTTTCATCTACTAATCATATTTTGGACTTGACACAACCAAAACAAGGGTTCTCAGGCTCGCACGTGTAGCCCAAATCCACTCCCATATACAATCTGACACACGGGATGAACTTAATCATAGCTAGAAAGACTGAAAGTCTGATAATCTGTGACACATAATGTATGCTGTATGGCTGTGTATTAGCAATAAGATACTGTACTATAAGCAAGGTGAGGTTTGCAATTTAAAAAAACTGTCATAAGAACACAGCCTCATTTGCATTAAATCTGAGTTTCCTTTTTTTTATCACAGTCCCTGTAATATCCATCAACACAGCCTTCAGTTTGTTTAGAAAACTAAGTTGGTGGTTTAAACACAAATCGATTGAGATACTCAAGATTATTGATACACAGAGCACATACACATATCGTAATAAATACCACTTGGATAAGTATATCGTGGTAAATTAGCATTATGTGGATAATTGTGAATATCCTCATGAGTGACATGAAAAGCTGTGTAGCTCGCTGACGTACAGTCTTGTATTAGTTTCCAGATTTATTTTTGAATTTCCACAAAGGGGAGCTCCGTCCTGCCAATCATTTCAAAATCCTAACCCTATTCACCCATTGTATCCCCCAAAAATCAAGCTTAAACTGGATGGGTGTAAATACTTTGGATTCCAAGAGTATCAAGATATTGTATATTAATGTTTTTGTGTGTGCACATGTATCTAAACACAGGGAAAACTCAGAGTAATGTATGGCTAAATGGTGTCTTGTGTTTCAGATTGTGGTGTATATCCTCCATTTATATAGTTAATAATATATTTTCTGTTCCACTGTGGACAAATTCATTCATTTGTTATAGATTAATGAACAGATTATTTTAAGTAACAAAAGGACACATGCTAGATTTTCTGAGCTTTCGTGAGCTTGTTTTTGCTAAAACATTTTTGGACAGAAGTTGTTGATAATAAATGTATTAGTTTGCGTATTGCATTTAAATGTTTTGCTCACATGTAATTGTGGTACAGTAGTACATGAGACAGATAGCTGAACAAAAAAAACCAGTCAGAGCCAGGAATGACACCCACCACTCCGGGATACTTGGTTGTTGAGTCTCAGGCCGTCAAATACTGACACTGGGAATGAGACTCAGCAATCAGTTATCCTCAAGCCACCAGTCAAAAGTGGTGGGTGTCTTTCTCGGCTCTGATTGGTTGTTTTCTTTCAGTGGATTCTTGCAGATGTCATTAGAAGCACTAGGAGGAACCTGAGGAACTTTTTTTCACTTATTGAAAATAATACTAATAATAATACTGATTATTTGTCTCTATATACTTGGATAGCAACATGAATCTTCACTCTTTAAACACTTTGACAAATAAAATACAGCTCATGAACGCACCAAAGTCAGAAGAACAACTTCTCAACTTGTGATCTCAGATGGACTCTAATTTCTCTCATCTCATCTCTTGTTTGCCACGTGCTACATTTCAGCTTACTGTAACCGTTTTGTCTCTTGCCATTTGATTACATCACATTTGTCAAATATTTTTACAGAATATGTCCACAGGGTTAGACACAAGTGTTCAAACCACAATAATCCATCTTCCCTTCCTTCTTTCATCCCCCCTATCCCCCCATCCCTCCATCTCCAGGTCAATGTGTTTGTCCTGCTGTCTGTGGTGTGTGTGCTCCTTAATCTGGCTGGATTCATCCTGTGCTGCCAGGGAGCCCAACTGGTTTCCAGTATGACCAGCTGCCAACTGGTGAGGCTGTTACCCGTTTGTGTCTTGTCTGGTTTTGGTGTCATCATCTGTAAATTTTCTGTATTTTTCTCCTTCATGGTCTCTGTTCCTCCTGTGGACAGTCAATAGGAAATTACATCTTGAGAGCCTCATGCTTACTAATTTGATGTAGTCCGTGTTGAACCAGTTTACTGCTGGAGAAGGATATAACATGGCAAGTACACTGAAGGGTGTAATCATAAAATAAATAGAATCATGTGGGATGGAAAAAAAATGTCTGCATTGAGTCTCATTGGCTTTTATTTTATTGGGGTTTTTCTTTAACAACACTACAAAATAATGTAAAATCCGAGATCATATGTTGCCAAGGGCTCATCAAGGAAACTGGGTTTCACTCTAATCTAATTATGTTTTGTTTGGAAACGGTTAGCTCTGGGCAATAGGTCGGGTGTGTGTGTGTGTGTGTCCAAAATGTAATAAACTTACAGTGTAGATTGCAGGTCATTTTTATTTTACTTCAACATTTTAGCTTCAGGGTGGAGTCAGTCATGTGATCTCTTTAATTCAGATTTGACATTGTATATAATGGACAGATCTTCCAGGTGTGTGAAGTGAAGCCAACGCGAAGTGTCTTACACCTGCATTATATGTAAAGGCCAGCAGGGGGAGCTCCACTGGCTGTAATTAAACCTGATACGATGCACTGTTAACGAGAAATGAACCGACTTCTCACTTTATTTATTATTGTATTTATTTTGATTGACAAGTCATTCTCAGTGAGTCTGTCCAGAGCACCGCACAAAACTCAAACTAGCCAGTGTACTGTTTATCTGTAATACGAGATTGTGTGTGACCAGGCGAGCCGCCATTCCCCCGGATGAGTCAAAACTGTACAGCCAATGAGAGCCGCTCAACTGTCATGGTGACGACCATAACGCCAAACTCGAGGCTTCAAAGCGGTACTCCACAAACCAATGGGTGACGTCATGATAGGTTCACACTTGGCTCAAACCAAAACATCAGCCAATTACATAACTGGCTCTGCTCTGTTTGTCTTCGTTGACAGGTAAAGATTGAGAGCCAGATGTTTCCAGGTGTTTGCAGCTGTATATGTATTTAAGGGAGAATTTACAGTGTGCGTTTGAGATTGATCAGTATCAGATCCAGTCCCGGAGCTGACTGTGTAATGAGCTGCTGTCTTAGTAAATCAGATGCCTCTGCATTGTGTTGGTGTGATAAAGAAGATGCTGTGACACCAGGATCTTTTTATGGCTGACCTCTGTTTATTCCAATAAACAAATAGAGATACACAACCTCCATATCAGTTCTACTGCCCGATCCAGCTCCTCTCCCACAGGGGAATTGTACAAAAAAAGGAAAGGGGAAGGGCAAAAGGAATTTATAGTAGGGAGCACAGAAGAAATGAACGAGGAGGGGCTCTCACATCAACACATGCTACATTGAGTTTGGAGCTCCTCCCAGTCAAAAATAAATTATAACCAGATACATTTGGTGTAATTATAGCAAAGATAAAGGCACATATGAATTCATAACATAAGTGCTTAAAAAGCAAGACGTCAGAGAAATCGAAAAAAATGGACAGCAACATTGTGTATTTATTTTACAAAGAAGTCCCATTAAGATCAAAAATCTCAAGAGAGACCTGGCCAATGTACCAGCTATACAAAATCACATCATATTAAAATACATATACAACATGACACACAAAACAATCCACAACAAAACAGAAACCATTCAAACACATTAGATCTTTTTGCAGGTTATTCCATGCCCAAGATACATAGGAAATGCAGCTTTTCCCAGATCAAAACCTGGGGTACATGAAAAAGCAACCACTTACATTAGTGGTTGCATCAGTTTGAGGATTTATGCTGCTTAGTCTCCAGAACAAGCCAAACTACAGTCACAATGTTTTACCATTACTAACACCGTATACCATTTTCCAGTTGTTAGAGAGCCCATCACGACTGCTAAAAGTAGTTTTTTCTTCTTTATAACCACATGCAAATACCCCAGGGCAGAGAGTATATAGCAAAGTCAGTTACAACCAGCAGTGACCCATAACCTATGACCTTTTTATAGGTCCATTTGTCTTATGCTTCTTCCCTCTACTATATAACCCATATTACCAACTGCCAACAGCTCAGAAACATTGACTCCAAGTCATCTCAACACAAGCGTCACATATAATTCAATTCAGTTCAATTTTCTTTGTATAGCGCCAATTCATAACAGAAGTTATCTCAAGACACTTCAAATGGAGCAGTTCTAGACCAAATTCCTTATAACATTTACAAAGACCCAACAGTACCACCATGAGCAAGCACTTGGTGACGGGGGCAAGGAAAAACTGCCTGTTAAGAGGCAGAAACCTAGGACAGACCTTCGGCTGGAAAGTAGCTAGAAGTAACAAATGCATGGATTAGTTTTTCTGCATCTGTCTGTGATAGGATGTGTCTAATTTTTGTAATATTACGTAAATTAAAAAAGGCAGTCCTAGAGTTTTGCTTTATGTGGGAATTAAAGGACAAGTCCTGATCAAAGATAACTCCAAGATTCCTGACAGTGGTGCTAGAGGCCAAGGTAATACAATCTAGAGTAGCTATCTCTTAGACAGTGAGTCTCTAAGATTTTTGGGGCCAAGTACAAGAATTTCTTTTTTTTTTTTTTTTGTTTAACATCAGAAAATTGCAGATCATCCAGGATTTTATGTCCTTAAGACATGTTTCTAATTTAGATAATTGATTAATTTCATCGGGCTTGATCGATAGATATTACTGCGTATCATCTGCATAGCAATGAAAGTTAATGGACTGATTCCTAATAATGTTGCCTAAAGGGACCATATATAAAGTATTGGTCAAAGTACAGAACTTTGTGGAATTCCATGACTAGTAGTAGTATTTATTGAAGATTCATGTACAAACTGCGAACGATCTGATAAGTATGACTTTAATGCCAATTTGATGCTCAAGTCTCTGTAAAAGAATATTATCGTCAATCGTGTCAAATGCAGCACTAAGATCTAATAATACAAGTACAGAGACAAGTCCTTTGTCAGAAGCAATCAAAAGGTCAGTATTAACTTTATCCAGAGCTGTCTCTGTGCTGTGATGAACTCTAAATCCTGACTGAAAATCCTCAAATAAACTATTGTTATGTAGAAAGTCCCACAACTCTTTGGCGACTACTTTCTCCAGAATCTTAGAAGGGGAGGTTAGAAATCGGTCTATAGTTGGCTTAAACCCCTGCAGGTTTACAGGTGCATCTCAATAAATCAGAATATCATAACAAAGTTAATTTATTTCAGTAATTAAATTCAAAAAGTGAAACTCCTATATTATATAGATTCCTTACACACAGAGTGAAATATTTCAAGCCTTTATTTCTTTTAATTTTGATGATTATGGCTTACAGCTAACGAAAACCCCAAATTCTATATCTCAGAAAATTAGAATATTTCATAAGACCAATACATTTTAATACAGAAATGTTGGCCTACTCAAAAGTATGTTCATAGATATGCACTCAATACTTGGTCGGGGCTCCTTTTTGTATGGATTACTGCATCAATGCAGCGTGGCATGGAGGCGATCAGCCTGTGGCACTGCCGAGGTGTTATGGAAGTCCAAGTTGCTTTGATAGCGGCCTTCAGCTCGTCTGCATTGTTGGGTCTGGTGTCTCTCATCTTCCTCTTGACAATAGCCCACAGACTCTCTATGGCAGGGGTTCTCAAACTTTTTGGGGCCAAGACCCCTTAGAGGGGAGAACATTTTCCAAGGACCCCCTTATCATCCTCATTAAACATGTTTACTGACATTTGTGCTCCTAGATGCTGTAGGAATTATTTATATTTTAAACTTTTCAACCTAAATACTTAAGGTGAGTTTCATTGAAATGAACTTAAACAAATTAAATTTGAATAAATAAATGTTAATACCATTTCTATACTTTTAAACACAGGGTCATTTTTATTCAGATTACATTTTGACCTCACAGCATTTCTAATTTTCAAGTAACAGATCTTAAAGCTTTCAGAAAACAGTAACAAGACTGGCAAAGTCCTAACGAACCCAGTTAATTTTAAAAGCAGTTAAAAGCTTACTTTTAACCATAACATAATGAACTTATTGCCCCTTATTCAAATTACTGGCAGAAAACTGAACATCATAACAGTTTTAGTAATTAAGCCTATAAATATTTGCATTAGGCTCTATCAGAGTCTTATAACACACAAATCAATTCACACATCACTCACATCAATAACTCACTAAATTAGTGTCTCTCACAACATAGTTTATCTATTCTGGGAGTGATGGTTGACAAACAGACTCGAAGATCATCCTCCACTTGTAAACGAACGAAGAATAAGTACAGGGCTTACTTATTCTTCATTGCAGTCAAAGTGGAAAATGATGATTCACAGAGGTATGTGGTAGGAAAAGGGAGCAATAATTGCATGGCCTCAGCAGTGAGTTTGAGATACTCATGTGAGAGGGAGGGCCAGACGTTTGCCAGATTAACCTGCTGGAATCGGGCCTTCAATGTCCTATCACAGGATAAGGCCAACAGCTGCTCTTCTGCCTTACCTGTCAGGCCATTTTCTGTTGCAGCTGGTGCAAACGGATCGCGCACCCAGTCCCAGGCATCAGTGTTCACATCGGAGAAGTATGAGCTGAAGTGCTCGCTCAGTGATGTGAGGTGTGAGGTCGCGACCTTCCTCACTGTGGCCACAGACAAGTTGTTTGTGTGGAGAAACTCACTCAGTTGGGGGAACATGTCTGTTATTCCGTCTTGTATCCTCCTTCTCCATAGGACTGTTTTCTCCATGAAGGCAGTGACTTTGTCGCTGACTTCAAGGATGGATGTGTGGCCTCCTTGGATGGAGAGGTTGAGGCTATTCAGTATGTTGAATATGTCGGCAAGATATGCCAACTTGGCCATACTCTCCGGGTCTGTAAAAAACTGTGCTGTGTTGGGTTTTTCCTCTCTCATAAACT